GGATTTAGCTCAGTGGTTCCACCACCTACCTTGCAAGCACAAGGGCCCGAGTTGGATCCCTGGCACCACAAAAAAAAAGTATAAGAAAGAAAGATGAGTAGATGATGAAACGCACATGTGGTGCTCCACTTAAATTATTTGCACTATAGAGCCCTTTACGGAAGAAGTTTGCCCTCACCCATCTAAAACATTGCTGTGGCCCAAGCATAGTCCCTATCTGCATACACGTCAGGCAAGTGCTGAGGCCCAGGCTCCCAGTGTGACGGTCTTGGAGATGGGGCCTATGGAAATTAGTTGGGTTTAGGTGAGGTGGTGAGGCATTCTTGTCCTTGTGGGAATGCCAGAGAGCTCACAGCCTGTCCTATGAGGGTATGTCAAGAAGGTGGCCTCCTGCAAGCCACAGAGAGAGCCCTCCTTAGAAACCAGCCACCATAACCGTGAGAGAATGAGTTTGCAGTGTTGAAGCCACTGTGTCTGGGCCGACCAAGAAAGACACACTTTCCGCAGCTCTTCTGTATACAGACCCCTGTCTCAGGCTCTGCCCCGAACCTCATCTCTCGTCTCCTTCTCAATTCCCAATGGAAGGAGTATTAAAAAGAGGAAAGAACACTTAACCATGAAGCGTGGTCAGGAGAGTCCTAGAACTAACCCAAGAGGTAGACAGCAGGTTGTGAAGAGTAGGGCTTCTACCACAGTGGCTTCTTATGTGCACCATCTGTTTTTCTTTGACTATAACAAGTGACAACTTTTCATGTAAATATTCCCCATACCTTTTAAAGTCAAACATATGATGCTGTTTGTGTGTAAAGGTTTTTCTCTTGTACCCATTTGTTTCTTCAGCTTGAATTTCTATGTAAACTCCCTCATAAGCTGCCTACACCGCGCTGCCTCCTCCCTCATTCAGAGCAGGGAGTGGAAATGGCATCTGCCGTGCCAGGTGTCCCATGTGCAGACCTGGGCCAGGTGGGGAAAACATCCCACAGCCAGGGGCCCCACATTGTTGTGAACATGCAGCTCTAAACCATGGCCTTCACATCTTTTTGGCAACCTATCCTAAGTTTCCCTTCTCATCTCCCTCTTCTTTGTAAGCCTTGATGAGTCCCCACTATCTCCTTTCTCCTCTACCCTAAATTATCCCTTTTCCCTTCAAACGAAATATTATGCATTTAAAGCAAACCTTTTTAACAACTTAAACAACTTTTAAACAACTTAACCAAGCTATAATTTTATTTTTTTAACTACATAATACTTTAATGGTATTTATTGCTTATCCACTTTTTTTTCCAAGCTATAATTTTAAAGTTCACCCATTTAAGTGTATAGTTCAGATCTTTTTAGTAAATTTATCAAGTTGTGCAGCCATTGCCAAAATGCAGTTTTAGAGTACTTCCATCCCCACAGTGTGACCTGTGCCCTTTATAGTTAATCCCCAGCCCCTGGCAACCACTGATCCACTTTTTATCTCAGTTTGCCTTTTTTTAGACTATTTAAATGGAATAAATAGTGTGTGGTCATTGGCATTTAGTATTTTTGAGACTTGACTGTGTTGTAGCATGTGTCAACAGTTTTTTTCCTCTATGTTGCTGAATAGTTGTATGGACCTACGTGCTAAATGGCTGTTTTAACTTCTGTGAGCCTATTGACTGATTCTTTTTCCTTAAGTTGCTATCCTTTCATAACTGGGGAACTCCTTACTTGTTAGAAAAATATTCCCAACTCTTTGAGATTTTCACATACAAAAAAGTATGTTATTGTCCAGTTTAAGGGACATTGATTCTGCCCCTCCCTGTGACCAGATTTGAGGGGGCCGGATGATAAGATGTGGACACCAGAGACCTTATATCCAAGGGAAGATAAATAGCCAGAGAAATATTCCACTCAACCATCAGTAGATCTTACATTCTTTGCTTTCTGCCTTGCTTTGTTGTTTGTTTGTTCATTTGTTTGGTATCAGGGATCAAACTTAGGATTGCACTTGTGAGGCAGGCGGCAGAACCACTGAGCTAAATCCCTGGCCCCTGTTGTTTTATTTTCTGTTTTTTGAGATGGAGTCACTATCACCCAGGTTAGTCTCAAATTTATAGGTTCAAATGATCCTCCTGCCTCAGCCTCCTGAATAGCTTGGGCTGCTCTGTGTGCAATCATACCCAGCCACTGCTTTCTTCCATAGAGGCAATTTTTTTTTTTTTTTTTTTTTTTTTTTTTTTTTTTTGGGGGGGGGGTGTGTTTTTTTTTTTTTTTTTTTTTTTTTTTTTTTTTGTGGGGAGAGGGTAAGACAGGGTTTTACTGTGTGTGCAGCCTGGCCTCAAACTCACGGTGATCCCCTTGCCTCAGCCTCCTGAGTGCTGGAATTACAGATGTGTACCACCATATTCTGCTTGATAAAGCTAAATTATTTTGAAGAAGTGCTATTAAAGTCTACTCATATTTCCCCAACCCTCCTCCCATTAACTCATACAAGGACGTTAGTACACATTAGCCAGCATCCATTGCAGAGAATGCTTGTTTGCACCTTCCCAAGGAAAGGCAGCTGGAAGCCCTTGCCAGCTACCACCCAACTCTGCCTCCCGCCCTTTCTAGGTCTTTCCCTGGACAGTCCCAGTCAGGATGTGTGTCCAGGACCTGGCAGCACACAGCTTCACAGGATGGTCTGTGTCACTAGTCACCTGAGTTTTCTTATTTTGAGCAAGGTGTATGGTTGATTTTACCTTTTAGTCTTACGCTCTTACACCTCCAATCTCTTGAGTTTCATAAGCCAGGATCTTCTCCATTCTCCACTGGAGTCCCTTTGTTGTTGCTGATTCATAACTTTACATTTAGCTCTGTCATTTTTGATACTTTTATTGGGTAGTTTCTTTAGAAAGGGCTCCCCAGTCAAAAGTATTCCAGGGCCAGGGATTTAGCTCAGTGGCACCGTTCCTGCCTCACTAATGCAAGGTTGTGAGTTTGATCCCTGGTACCGAAAAACAAAACAAAAAATAAAGTTTTCAATGCACAAAATGGCCATTCCCCCATCCCCAGCCTTTTTAAAAGGTTTCTACTGTAGTCTTCCCTGCTGCGCTCTGGAAGCAGATTCAGGCTGTGTGAAAGCTAATTGCTCCCAGAATTTAGCTTGAAGACCAGGTCATATGTCTTAAAACCAGCCTTTAGGCTGGGGTAAGATGGGAGATTTGTTGTTTGTTTTACTTGTGGAATTCAGAATAGAACTGAAGGCCTTTGCACTGAGGGAACCCCTAGCACCACCCACCCCCCTTTGGTGAGCCAGCGTCTTGCTGAGTTGCTCAGGCTGGCGTCATACTTGCATACCCGGATACACAGATTTCAGGCGTGCACCACCGTGGCTGGCTAACTTGGAGGGTTTCTGTGTTTGTTTATTATTTGTCTGAGTGTCACTAAAGCTGCACAGAAACTAATAACAGACACCAAGAAGATGGAAACTGAGTCTTGGAGCAACCTGATTAGGATTGAATTCCTTTGTTCTACAAATTTCTTTGAACTTCTACTTGTGAAAAGAACCCAGTGCTTTTGGAAAACAAAAGATGAATAAAACACTCCCTGCTCTCAGGGCACTTTATGGTACAAAATGTTGTAGGAGGGTTGGGGATTTAGCTCAGTGGCACCATGCCTGCCTTGCAAGGGCAAGGTCCTGAGTTCAATCCCTGGTTGGGGGTGGGGACCTTGGAGGAACTTTCTGTTATAACTCAGAGGCCTTTAGACAAAAGATTCAACTATAGCTGTAAAAACATATCACCTTCAGATAAGGAGAATCCCAGAAGTCATGAAAAAAACATGTATTATAAATTCAAATCTTAGTATGGATTTTAAACGAGGATTTGTGGACTAAAGTCTCAACATGAACACTTCAAATGTGGTTAGCTTTTGCTTTACTTTGGCTAATAGAGAAGCACCAGGGAAACAGAAAGTACTCTTGCTCTTGACAGTATAAAATTCTTATTATTTTTAGAGAATAGTAGCTATGCATTTATGAAATTCTTTGTCAGAGCAATTTAGTTAATAGCTATGTAAATGACTGCTTATTTCATAGTGTAGGTGGATCACTCTATGTACACTTTGGAGAAAGAATTTAAGTGCTAGAAGCTATTAACACCGAAGATGGAAAGAAGCAAAAATGAAGGCAAGAATGCCAGACCTTTGCTGTGTTAGGTGTTCTGAGGAAGCAGAAAACTGCCCGCTTGTAGTGGAGATTTGTTCAATTATCAAGAGGGATTTCTTATTCACTGATGTGAATTTCCATGTGAAATTGTTTCATACTACTGGCTTTCAAGCACAAAAGATCATTGTAAACCCAGTTGGCGGGGGACAGGGAAGTGCTGGAAATTAATCTCACAGCTATCAATCCCTGTGCAAGGGAATGTCTCCTTGTGTCCTGCAGATACTTGAGGGGCACTTCTGAAAGGTCCTTGTCATTTCAGCATAAATCATGAAGGAGTTTCCCAGGCAGAGTCTCAGAAGAAGTCAGCAGTGATGCACATAAATGGGCCTGCCTGGTGGAGGCCTCCGGCTCTTCCCTGCCCTGAGTTCACCTGCCCAGTGCATCATCTTCACCTGCACTTGAGTCAGGACACCTCCCTCTCTAAAGGCCCTCAGAATCTCAGCTGTCATGCAGATCTCAATAAAGTTCTTGGCAGTGTATCTCAAGCTTTCCACTACTTTACCCTCCCTGCCTCAGTACTTTTGATTCCCACTGGCCTCAGCTCACTTTCTCTGTCGGGCTAGCAAGGGAAGTGCAGAAACTGGCATTTGTTCCTCCAGAGCCACTTCCTCCACTTCCCTTCCTGCGGCTCTTACTCTCTTCAGTACAGAGTCCCTGATCACCTGGCTCGCACAGCAGTTGCTCTGGGCACATGTGTCTACTTGGCAAGTCTACTGAGAGTGGAACCTGGTGGCTGTGTGCCAGCCCTGCAAGTGCTGCACACCACAAATGCTTCTTCCCTAACATTTGCACGTGTCACTTTCTCTCCTGTTTTGTTCTCCTTCAGGTACAGACTGAAGACAGCATCCTCCTGTTTGTTACTGCCTGGACAGTCACAGAAATTATCCGTTACTCCTTTTATACATTCAGTCTGTTAAACCATCTGCCTTACCTCATCAAATGGGCCAGGTAAAAATGGGACAAAGACTCATTTTTGAAATTATCCATCATCATATTTGCCCCTCGTTGCCTAAATGTTACCTCCAAGTTTCTAAAAATAAAGTTGTATGAGACAGAAGTCAGATAAAAAAGCCTTCACTTTAAATTGGCATCGTTTCTTTTCAGTTGAATTAAACAGTGGAGACTTGATGTGATGTTCCTTTTTTGTCCTTATCAAATTCTGCTGATGAACTTCTATTGTGATAGGTTTTTGTTTTTTTGTTTGTTTTTTTGTTTTTTTAGGCCAAGCCCAGTTCTCCTAGACTCACTTTTGCTAAGAAGTTGTGACTTGGGCTAGGGATTTAGCTCAGTGGTGCCACACCTGCCTGGCAAAACGCAAGGTCCTGAGTTCTGTTTCTGGTACCAGAAAAAAAGGAAGAAAAAATGAACTGTCTCTTTTTTTGGTACCGGGGATCAAACTGGGTCCTTGCACTTAACGAGGCAGGCAGAGGAACCACCCCTTGTGACTCTTAATTTTTTTTAGTTAATAACAAATGTTACCTAGTAGTTTTAACTTAGCAGTTTTGTTTTGCTTCAGTTATTTTTACCAGTAATATTTATTATGATGTGGGAAAAAGACTTATAGTTCACCTGTTTACCTTAACTAATTCATGAGACAGTTGAAACCAGTTTTCTGAGTTGGGAAAGACCACCTTTGGAGTGGGAGGAAGGGGCCTACAACAAAACAGAAGAATCAGAATTGTTCATGGAACAAAAATATCTCTTGGGCAGAGTACCAGGGATCAAACTCAGCCCTTGTGTTTGCAAGGCAGGTGGCGGAACCACTGAGCCAAACCCCCAGCCCCGTTCTTTTCTTTTCTTTTTCTTTTTTAATTTATTTTCTTTTTTAAAAAATTTTTTTGCCTGGCATGGTGGCGCACACCTGTAATCCCAGCACTCGGGAGGCTGAGGCAGGAGGATCACTGTGAGTTTGATACCAGCCTGGGCTACATAGTGAGTTCCAGGTCAGTCTCAACTATACAGTGAGACCCTGTCTCAAAGAAACAAAAAAACAACAACAACAAAAAATTAATTTTATTGGTACATTTTAGGTATACGATATAGTGACATTCATCATTGGAAATTTGTACCTTTACATAACCTTGGTAAAAATACCTCTTTTCATAGAAGGAAAACTGGACACTTTATAAGATCAGTGACTAACAACATAATTCCACTATTCCCAACATTTCAAGTATGAGAACTCCCTTATTTTTATTATTTTTTTTTGCAATAAACATCTTTCCTAGCAAAGAGGAAGAATAGCAGCTGCCAGTCAGCCTGCATAGCCACTGTGAACACTGTCTAGCCAGGTCATAGTCAACCAAAGCCTGATTTCACTATTGGAGAAAGATTGTTTTGTCCATTCTTCTCCATGGACTATGGAAGATTCTTCCTTTTCTTCTTTCAAGAATATGTCTTACTTTATCTTTTTTTGTTTGTTGGTTTTGTTTTGTTTTTTTGTGACAGGGTCTCACATGTAGTTGAGACTGACCTGGAATTTACTATGTATCCCAGGCTGATCTCGAACTCACAGCAATCCTCCTGCCTCAGCCTCCCGAGTGCTGGGATTACAGGCATGTGCCACCACGCCTAGCTTCTTCCTTTACCTTAATAGATTTTTCAGTACATTCTGTGCCTGAAAGTTTGAAATCCAGTCTCATTTTATACATATATATATATATATATTTTTTTTTTTTCCATTTTTCACAACAGTTTGTACAGATGTTGGAAAGTTGTGGCCGTATACACATGTGGTGTGCTGTATTTCTTTCAGCCCATAGACTAACTAGACACAGTATATGTTCTAGGATTTCCTAGGTGTTTCAGCACCTCTCTCCCAATCCCTCTCAATCCCCCATCCCCATGGGACTTATTGCCCTACCTTGCTATGTCTACTTCTGCTGTCCCTTAGTTCTGGAGAGTTCCTTAGTGAACATATAATTTGTTTTAGAACATTCAGAAGCATATACATGCTATAGACACTTTTTCATAAACTGGCTTGTAAAGCCTGGACTTAAACAGAAAGCAAAATAGGAAATGTAGAAAAACAGTCACTTTCTGAAAGACCAGGACTGGGTGGAAGGGTGGGAGTGCGTCTTTCCACCAGCGCTGGCATTTGCACTTAAGTCTTGGGTATTTTGTTTTATTTCAGGTACACGCTTTTCATTGTGCTGTACCCGATGGGCGTGTCGGGAGAGTTACTTACAATATATGCAGCTCTGCCCTTTGTCAGACAGGCTGGCCTGTACTCCATCAGTTTACCTAACAAATACAATTTCTCCTTTGACTACTATGCATTCCTAATTCTGATAATGATCTCCTACATTCCACGTAAGTAAATAGTTGTGTGTGTATTCATTTATGTCTTAAAAATTTGGCTCCACAATAACTAGAGTTAAATGTCTTTGATTGACCTTGCACCACATCCAAGTAAGTATAAATCTGATTTACTGGGAACACTGGTTTTTATTGAGTGCTGTCAGAGGGAATTTTCTGTGGTAGTAGTAATTGAATAAAGATGAGCCTTCTCAAAACAGCTGCCAACATGAGTCCTTGTCGGCGTGTGGGTTTGAAATGCTGAATACCAGGGCAAATTAATCTTATTTGGGGGGAAAGTACTGAGTAGAAAACAAAAAAGCCATAAAGACCTTACCTTGATTTTAGTTTCCTGTCTCTTAAGAAATGCTTCTTATGCTTTGTGAAAAACATTACAAAAAGATACTTGCATTATGTACTATATCAAAAGAGACAGTTTTATTTTATTTTAAGGGACGAGTAGTTAACTAGAAACAAATAACCAAGTAAAGACAGATTTTTTTTCCCCTACACATCTCATTTTCTTGTTGAGCACTAAAACCCTCTGCAGGGACACTGTTCCCTTCAGGATGCTTTCCAGTTATGTTCCTGGTGTTGCTGGAGGTTTGAGTGCACGGAGGGTCAGATGTACTATGGGCATTCTGAGTGGCAGAGAAGGAAAGACACATGTGATGCTTGTGTGAGATGAGTCCTGTCAATTGTGATCAATCCTGTGATCAGTTCCTACATATCAGAAGGACCTTCTTAATGATGTTCATGTTTCTTCTCCTTTAGCTATTTCTACAGCCACTGTAACTGAATCAGAATCTTGGTCTATGAAGGGTGTCATTGTCTCCCTTGAACCCCAAGTTCAGACCGGGGTGGATTTTTCTTCAGCCCCAGGATTGTTTAAATGAATCATCCTAACAGTCACAAGTGACATGTTTTGTGTCCCTCTGTAGAAAATTGCATTTTATGCATTGTGAGGAAAAACACTAAATCCAGATCTCATGTGCACATTTATCTTGGAGAAATTCTTACACGGAATCTTGCTTTCATGATTCATTTTCCAGTCTTTGTTCATTATTGAGTCCTCCCCTTCAGCTGGCTGTGGTGTCACACACACCTGTAAACCCCACATTCTGGGCAGCTGAGCAGGAGGATCACAAGTTTGAGCCCAGCCTGGACATCTGACTTAGCCATATACTGTCTGAAAATTTTCAAAAGTAAAAATAGCTGAGGATGTAATACAAAAATCTTTTCCCCTATAGTGCTAGCACATGGTAGCTAAAGGCCTTCTCTCTTCAGATGTAACAGGTACTTTTCAAACAAAGGCAAATCTGGAAGATTCTAAAACACATAAGTAAAAAAATTAATGTAGGCTTCACCTTTGTAAGCTTGTTCCCTCAGCATTACATTTTCCCATCGCTAGAACCTCAGTGCACAGTTGCAGTTTGACCACTCCCAGAGCAGCACATGTTATCCCAGTGTCCACTATAGGGTTTATTTCTGTTCAACAATTTTTGAGCGAATAGATCTTTGCCATGTTGGGAAATGACAGGAAGGGTAAACCATGACAAGGTATTTGAATACTGACAGAAATCCAGAGGTCCCAACCTCAGAGTTCCTACAGGATTTCCAGTCTGGCTGGGCATGGTGGCACGGGCCTGTAATCCAGCACTTGGGAGGCTGAAGCAGGAGGCTTTCGAGTTCAAGGCCAGCAGGGGTGTATAACCAAGATTTCCATTCTGTTTGAGAAGGAGCAACCATCATTCCAAGGGCAGCTCCCCAGGTCAGACTGACTGTACCTGCCAGTCCTTTTTATGCCCTGGGAGCCAACCACTATGCCAAGCCTCTCTGCTGCCCTCTTGTTGTGGTGACAGGATGGTCATGCACAGGAATCTTCGGTGATGGTAGGATCCCTGGAGGAAAATAGCCGGCCCCGTGGGATTTTCTTTCAGGGTGTGAAGAATAACAAGAGAGCATAGGCCTTGGGACCAGCTGTCTTCTAAAGAGAAGGGCAGGGCTGCTCCCAATAGAACTCAGCTTTCTTGACCTTCCTTTCTCCTTCCAGTGTCCAGTGTCAACCCCCTTTTGATAGCGAACTCGGCTTGTACTGTTCATCCTAGCCAACTGTATATTTCCAACTTTCTAGTGCTTTGTAAGAAGAAAATGCAGAATTGGGTGAGATTGCTATTGACACTCCAGTCTCTGCTTTAACAAATTTGGTTTTCTTTCTACTACTTAGTCTTCTTCTGATGGGCAGCTATTGACAGACACGGACTATAGAAAGTAACCCCTTTTCTTTGTGGTCCTGCTCCATTGTCACACGTGTATTCACACTGTCACCCTGGAGTTTGTCCACCTTGAGGCTCCTGAGGGTCCCTGGCAAAGTGCTTCTCCCCTTTCCACTTTTGCAGTGTTCATAGTCAGGAGACAGTGCAGTACCTTCAGGACTCACTGGACATCTTAAGTCCTGTTTATATCACACAGTACCACCACCACCACCACCATCCCCAGCAGATTGGCAAAGGCTGGTTTTGGGGAAAGGGACCAAAGAAAACTTGAGAAACACGAGTATAGGGTAGAGACACCGAGAAGCCAGCATTCGCTAGGTTGTCAGTAGCCACAGCCACCCTTGACTTTTGGGGGATCTGAGAACTTATCCGAAGAGAAGCATTCCCAGTTGCTCTCATTCTCTAGGAGAGAGCCAGTGGCATGAGCCCCCTCCTAACACACAACAGCTATCCCCCTTCTGGAATGTTCTGAGCGAGGAAAGCAGGTCAGGTGCTCAGTAGCCTTTTGTCAGGTGGAGAGCTGTGCTGTCTCCGCAGTGAGGCCTGATGTTGTTAGGTCATAGCCACATCTCTGGAATTGTTAAGCCGTTGTGGTTGGTTTCAGCCTGAACACATGGGTGTCATTCTGATGGGAATAGTATCAAGAAGTCACCCCTAGAGCTGCACAGCACAACCTGAGCATCCCTGGCCTCCCATATGCACTCTTTACCTTGGTACCCAGAAACCTCTGGACACTGTAAAGGAAGGAAAGGGTCATGCGTGCCTTGCTTCAGGCATCTGCCCCTGCTCATAGTTACAGTCCTGGCCCTTGCTTTAAACTGAGACTGAAGCCTAAGGAATGGCTTCCAGGTGTATATCCTCCCTCAGGCCCTCTGAACTACCTGTGTTTACACTACCAGTGAAAGATACAGCCATGGCCTGCTCAGCCCACAGAGATTGCCTTTGCTTAAGTAAATCTAGCAATGTGACTGGCCCCACATTTTTAAATGATCACAATTAGCATTCCTTATGGTTTAATTATATCTTTACTTCCAGTTTTTAGATTATAGAGCTTGTCAAATTTTCTGGCTTTCACATCAGAATAGTTCCCTCACTGTTGAATTATGTGCATAAGCTGGGCCTTCTCTACGAATAACTTCCGGCCTGAAAATAGCACTTGGAGTGATGGCAGTGTTGCTCAGTACCCAGCGTCCTCTGCTGTTGATCTTCGAGCACCTTCTGACGTCGTGGAGTACTTGGGAGGATCATTTAAAATGTGGGCAGAGCTGGGGATTTGGCTCAGTGGTTCTGCCACCTGCCTCGCAAAGCACAAGGGCCCAAGTTCGATCCCTGGTACAAAAAATAAAATAAAATGTGGGCAGCTTGGAATCCATTTAAAAAGGAAGAAATGATCCACGGAGAGTTGGCAGTAGGTTTCCTTCCAGAAAATACAGGTTACTGTCTGAAAGTGAGAGATTAGAGCCACTGGGGAAGGGAAGGAAGGGCATTTTGTATAAAAAAGGCCCTCCCGGGCTCCCCAGTTACAGTAAGTAACCTTGGAAGGCCTGGCAGCTCCAGCTGGCAGTAGAAACACTGTTGGCATTTGGGGCTTACAGTTCTCAGTTGAAAACAGCACACTGCAAGATGTTTTAGCATACCTGGCCCCTACTCTTAACTGCCGGCTACCTTCCCTACTTATTTCAGATATTCCCCAGGAAGGGTCTGATTAGAGAACCAGTGCTTTGTGTTCTGTGAAATGATCAAAAACAGAAGACTAGTGCCTAAGATACTGACTTCCTTTCCTTGAGAGCTTTTTTTTTGGGGGGGTACCAGGAGTTGAACTTGGGCACTTGCACTTCCAAGGCAGGTGCAGTGCCACTGAACTAAATCCCTGGCCCTCCATGAGGGTCTTTTCTGTGTACCAGTCTCCCTTTGCTGTGTTTTGGCTATACCCCACTCCTTTGCCATCCAGAGAGCCTCCTTTCTTTCTTTCTTTCTTTTTTTTTTTTTTTTTT